AATATATTTACCTTTAAATGTTTTTGAAAAATGTTACCCAGGAAGCTGCTTCCGCTCTGGGAAGGTCGTGACGCAGATCAAACAGGTGAAAAAAACTTTATTCTTTTTTCAGAGTTGTTTGTCTATCCTAGGCCTTTTGCATTTCCATATGAATTTTAGAAACAGGTCATTGTTTTCTAATTTTTAAATAGCCTGTTGGGATTTTAATTTAGATTGTATTGGATCTATAGAGCAATATGGGAAGAATTGACAGAATAACAATATTGAGTCTTCTGATCCATGAACAGAGAATCTTAATTTACTTATGTCTTCTTTAAGTTCTCTCAGCAATGTTTTGTAATTTTCAGTGTACAGGTCACGAGTATTTGTTGTCAGACTTATTTGGCATTTTAAAAAATATATTTAATTTTTAATTGTTGTTATTATTTTTGAGTTTCAATTCCAGTGTTTTTATTTATTTGACTTGATGTTTTATTGCTTTAAAATTTTTAATTCCAATGGTTCTTTGTGAGTCTATAGAAATACAATTGTTTATTAATCTTGTATACTGAAACCTTGTTAAGTTTATTTATTCCTAGTAGTTTCTTTGTAGATTCCATTGAAATTTCTACATAGCTGATGTCACCTCTGAATAAAGAGAGTTTTACTTCTTTCCTAATATGGATGCCTTTACTTCTTTATCTTGAGTAATTACACTGTCTAGAACCTCTAGTGCAATATCAAATATAAATTCTGTGAGCAGCTATCCCTTCCTTCTTTCTGATCCTAGGAGATACCATTTGGTTTGCCATTATTAACTGTGAAAAGCAATGACATCAGAGACTGCACATTACATAGGAAACACACTTCACAGGAAAGTCCTGAACAAAAGAAGTGTGAAAACAACAAGCTCTGGAGATCAAAATTCAGAATTGCTACAATATAGTATCTAGAATGTCTACTATTGAACAAAAATCTATGAGAAATACAAAGAAATAGGAAAGTGTAAATTACAAGGTCTGACAATGAAGTTTGTGAACTTTTTGCAATGATGTTGCTAACATTTTTTTGATATTAGAGGGATTATTCATTATGAATTTGTACCAACTGGACAAACAGTTAACAAAGTTCACTATTTGGAAGTGCTGAAAAGGCTGCATGAAAAAGTTAGACGACCTGAACTTTTTGCCAACAATTCACATCACAACAATGCACCAGCTCACATGGCACTGTCTGTGAGGGAGTTTTTAGCCAGTAAACAAACAATTGTATTAGAACACCCTCCCTACTCACCTGATCTCTCCCCCAATGAGTTCTTTCTTTACCCAAAGATAAAGGAAATATTGAAAAGAAGACATTTTGATGACATTCAGGACATCAAGGGTAATACAATGACAGCTCTGACGACCATTCCAGAAAAAGGGTTCCAAAATTGCTTTAATTGGTAGACTAGGTGCTGGGGTTGGTGCATAGCCTCCCAAGGGGAGTACTTCGAAGGTGACCATAGTGATATTCAGCAATGAGGTGTGTAGCACTTTTTCTAGGATGAGTTTGTGAACTTAATTGTCTGACCTCATATACATAGGAAAAACTGCAGGCAATAGAAACTGCCCTTAGAGGACCCAGATGTTGGACTTAGCAAACAGACTTCAATGCAGCTAGTATAAATATGTTCAAACAACTAAAGAAAATAATGCTTAAACAATTAAGATGACAATGATTAACCAAATGGAGACTATCAATAAAGAGGTAAAAATTATGAAAAAAAATAGAAGAAACCAAATGGAAATTCTGGAGTTGAAAAATAAAATAATAGATATGAAAAATAAAATAATAGATATGAAAAATTTCTAGAGAGACTCAACAGCAGATTTGAACTAGCAGGAAAAAGAACCTGTGAACTTGAAGATAGAACGAGATTATCCAATTTGAAAAAAACAATGAAGAAAAATGAACAGAGGCTCACAGTCTTGTGAGACAAATAGAATAAACATATGCATAACGGGAGTATCAGAAAAAGAGCAGGATTGAAGGGCAGAAAAAATATTTGAAGGAATATTGTCAAAACCTCCCCAAATTGATGAAAAACAATTTATACATCCAAGATGCCTCATGAGCTCCAAGTTGGATATATGAAAAGTCATCTACACTTATATCTATCATAGTGAACTGTTGAAAACTGAAGATAGTGAGAAAGTTTTGAAAGTGATAATATAAAATTGACTCATCATGTACAGGATAACAACAACAAGAATAATAGCTGACTTCTCATCAGAAACAATGGAGAACACACATGTGTGATGGTATATTCAGTGTGATGAAAGAAAAATACTCTCAACTAAGCATCCTATATACAGCAAAACTCTCTTTCAAAAACAAAGGTGAAATAAAGGCATTCCCAAATAAACGAAAATAGAGAAAATTCATTGCTAGTTGACCTGAATTACAAGAAATACTAAAGCAACTTTTTTCATTCTGAAAGTGAATGACACTAGACAGTAGACTCCCCCCAACCCCACCCCTTCAGGTATCAATCGCCAGTAGTAGGTTCCCAGGTCACCCACAACTTCTGTCTGACTTGGTTACAAATCAGAGGATACCATGACCTCTTACCCCTCAGATTTAATTGTTTGCTAGAACAGCTCACAGAATTGATGAAAACATTTATGTTTACAGTTTATTATATAATAAAGGATATGATAAAGGGTAGAGGTGAGCTTTCAAATGAAGAGATATATCAGGTGAGATCTGGAAGGATCCTGAATGCAGGAGCTTCTGCCCCTTCTGGAGTGTGTCACCCTCCTGATACATGGATGTGTTCACCAACCTGGGAGCTCTCCAATCCCCATACTATTGGGATTTTATGGAGGACTCTTCACATAGGCATGATCAATTATTAATTCCATTTCTAGCCCCTCTCTCATCTCTGGAGAATGGAGGTGGTGTGGGGTTGAAAATTCCAAGCTTCTAATCATAGCTTGGTCTTTCTGGTGACCAGCACCCATCCAGGAGCCCACCCATTCACCTAATAAGATGCTGCTAGTGCTCTTATTACTTAGGAATTTACAGAGGTGTAAGCGCCCTGTGCCAGGAACAGGCAAAGACCAAACATATATTTCTTATTATAAATCACAATATCACACCTTGACTTAGGCAAAGATTGCTTAGATATAAAAAATGATAGAAAAAATGATAAACTGAACTTCATCAAAATTAAAAACTTTTGTGTTTCAAAAGACATCATCAATAAAGTAAAAAGATAAGTCATAGGTTGGGAGAAAATATTTGCAACTTTTTCTCTGATGAAGGACTTGCCTTCAGAATACATAGAGAACTCAAACTCAATAATAAGGAAAATGATCCAATTAAAAATGGGTAAAATAATTGAATAGACATTTCACCAAAGAAGGAATTTAAATGGCCAGCCATCTCATGAAAACATGCTTAATATCATTAGTTATCAGGGAAATGCAAATTATTAAAACCATAATGAAATACCAGTTCTCACCTACTGACATGACTGCAGATGGAGACAGACAGTAACAATGGCTGGTGAGGACATAGAAGAATGGAAACTCTCATACACTGCTGGTGGGAATGTAAAGTGCGGCAACCACTGTGAATCAACAATTTAAGTTTCTTCAAATGTTAAACATAAATTTACCATATCACCTAAGAATCCCCTCCAAAACATGTGTCCACACAAAGACTTGTACATGAATGTTCAGAGCCGCATTGTTTAAAATAGCCAAATAGACTGGTGAATGGATTAACAAATGTGGCCTATCCATTCAATGGAGTATTTTTCAGCCATGAAAAGTTATGAAAACAAAAGGAAGACCATGTGAAGACAAAGGGAGAAGACAGCCATTTGCAGGCTAAGGAGAGTGGCCTTGAGGGAAATCAACCCTGCTAACACGTTGATCTCAGACTTCCAGCCTCCAGAATTTTGTGAAAATAAATTTCTGTTGTTTAAGCCCCCAGCCTGTGGCACTTTGTTATGGAAGCCCTAACAAAACAGATTTTGATACCAGGAAGTGGGCCACTGCTATAACAATGTGGAAGTGGCTTTAGAACTGGGTAATGGGTAGAAGCTGGAAGAGTTCTGAGGTGCATTTTAGAAAAGCCTAGATTCCCTTGAAGAGACTAAGTATGGACATTAGAGATGATTCTTGTAAGATCTCAGAAAGAAAAGAGAGCTGTAGAGAAAGTTTCTAACAACATGCATATACTACATGTACATATTACATACATATATGTTACATATGTAATATGTATAATTCCCTTGAAAAACTAGCTGGCCTAGAAATATGACACAAGGCATTCACTAAATGATAACAGTACAAAAGAAGGAGAAAAGATTAAAACAGAGAAGTCGAGGTAATTCCTAGATCATCAAATTTTTAAAATATCCTCAATATTCTAATATAGTCACCATTTAACTTCAATCTGAATGTTTATAGGGAGCCAAATTCTGAGTTCCAGCTTAAATTGCCATCACCTCTCTCACCCTGTAGACACAGACTTACTGAAAAGCCTACATACAGGATGTGCTGAGGAGCAGAAAACAAAGATTAGGGTGATGGAAGCATGACCTTCAAAACAGAAATTCAAGTTGTAGGGACCAGATAATACGGCTCCTGGCTGTCTGAGCCGCCTCTAAAGATATCAATTTGCTACTTCTAAGTTCCGACTTCTGGTCAGCATAAGCTGTGTCTGGGATCCTTGCTTCCCACGAAAGAGGAGCAGCCAACATTCTCTGGAAAGGGAAGAGGTCGGGGGTCGCGCCTTGGGGGCTCCCTCTTGGGGTTCTCCTGGCCCCTGGACGCCGGCGTGGCTGTGCGTCCCCGCAGGATGTGAGCCGCGCGGGTGCGCTCGGTTCTCAGCCGCTCTCCCCTCGGTAAGGGGGTGGGGAGGTGGGAGGGGAAAGCACCGGCGGACGCACCGGGCTGACACCGAAGCTCCCGCCGCCAGAGGGCGCTGCTGAACCGGGAGCCGTTCTCAGGCTCGGCAACCAAGGTCTTGCATCGTCCCGGGAAGGAGCTGGGGCCTGGTACACCTCCCTCGAGCCAACCCCTGGGCACGCAGCAGGGCCGGGAAGCACCCAAGGTGCGCGCGCCCTTCCCCGCGCGGCCTCGCGCGCCCCTTTCTTCGCTCGAGGGTTCGGACCATGCGTCACAGACGCACACCCACCAGCGCGCGCTTTGCTTGGGGCCCATTCGGGAGCCAACCGAAACCTCTCTGAGCCACGGACCCCTTTAGAAGGACCCTGCCGTGCAGAACTGCCTTATGGGCAGTTGCCTGAGCCGGCCTCACCCCTGGCCACCGTCCCACGCTCTGCTGGGTGGGGACCCTTGGGAGAGACCGGAGCGCCTCAGGTCCGCGTCCCCCGCCGGTCATGTTTCCCCGGTTTGCCGAGTTCACTCTGGGGCCCCGACGCTGGACCTGGCTTTGCCCCGTCGTATCGGGCGCCATAGGCGGTTTGTCATAGTCCATCGGTGGCAGTATCCAATCCAGCAGGCCCGGCGTTTGTTCCTGGGAGTCTTTTCCTCAGTGCCCAGAAGTAGCCCTCAGAAGCCAGTGCTGTCTGCCTGCAGCTCCAAGATGTTCTGCACCTCAGTGATCTTGAAGATAGCATCTGCTAAGGCCAAACTGACCCTCCTTTTGGCTCTGAAACAGACAGTCATGTACGTGTGGTCTTCACTGTCGGGTCACCTACCTAATCCTGGTGGAAAGGAGGCCGGGGTGAGGTCCCTGGAACAGAGCTGTCAACTGAGAGCCAAGGAAAAGAAGGACCCGACCGCCCTGGTGGACAGCGGGACGGGCCTAGCGCTGCAAGAGGAAAGCCACCCAGTCCCCGATAGGCAGGACCACCAGAGAGGGGGCTCCGATGGCAGAGGGGGTGCTCAGTCCGCGTTTAGGCGCCTGATGGTCAACGGAGTCCTCTCTTCCTTCGTGCCCAGACCTGGGCCTCTGCGGAGAGTCTCCTGTTCCAAGAGCCCCGAAGACAGCCTGGTTAAGAGGTCCCCGACCTACTTGAGCTCATGCAGAAAACGAAATGCCATCACCAGTTCCTACAGCTCCACCCGAGGGTTCCCACCGCTGTGGAGAAGCCATCCAGGTACAGCTGGGCTGCGGAGCCCAGCCTCATCCCATCCTCATGTGCCCGCAAAAAAAGCCAGTGAGGAAAGCCATGCGACTAGCTCCTCAGCCTCAGTGGAACCACAAAGGAAGACCACGCAGGAAAAGGTTGCGGAGGTCACTTCAGGGCAGAAACAAAACTTGAGGAGTTGTTCACCCCCATCCGACAATTCCAGGCCCCGGAAGCGCAAGATTCCTCTGCTGCTGCCTTGGAGGCGAAATGACCCACTAATCCTGCTCCCAGTCCCCCAGCCAGGCTATCGAGTCAGGGCTGAAGACCTTGACTTAGAGAAGAGAGCTGCGCTCCAGTGGATCAACAAGGTCTTGGAAGGGTAAGACAGGTCCTCTCAGACTGCAGTGACCCCTCAGCCTCACACATATATTATGTGCATATGTATGATATAAGTGTACATATAATATATAACTAATATTACAACGTATGCATATATAATATGTATATGTTGCATATGTTCTATATGTAATGTGTATAACAATGAATGTTATATATACACACAACATGTACATGCATAATATGTATAATATGTATACAATACATAATGTGTATTATATTACATATTATATGACTTTTTGTTAATCTACCAAATGTTCCTGAGTCTTTACACTTTGAATTTTGAGGGAAAATTGACTTACTCCATGTAGTTTTGTTTTTTCAACTCTTGTGAATATATAATTTCAAAATAAAAAGTTAAAAGTAATATACCTTAGATTAATACTAATTAATACTAATTTATTTCCAATAAATAAGAGAAATTTTGCTCCAATATAGATATATTATCTCTTCCCTCTTCTGAGAAAATATTGCATCTTCATGTGTTAAATACCCAGGTTGATAATTACAGTTTTGCAATCTTTTGGCTTTTAACTCACAGAAAGAAAAAAAGAAAATCAGTGTTTTATATTTACCTACACATTTGCCTTTTCCAGTGTTATTTATTTGTTTATATGAATTCGAATTAGCATCCCACATGAAGGTTTTGAGACCAGATCAAACTCACTAATTTGTTCCAGGAGGGTTTGTTTGTTTGTTTGTTTGTTTGTTTGTTTGTTTGTTAGGTTTCCTTAGGATTTTCTACATAGACAATCATGCCATCTGGAAATGAAGAGAGTTTTACTTTTCAATCAATATCCCTTTTATTGCTTTTTAAATTACCTTATTACAGGGACTAGAACTTCCTTAGTTGAATAAGAATGAGAGTGAATATTTTTTGCCTTGTTCTGGATCATAGAGGAAAAGCATTCAGTCTTTCACCATTAATTATTATGTTGGCTGTAGGTTTTTTGTAAGATTATTTTATAAGGTTGAGGATGATCCCCTCTATTCCTAATGTAATAAGAGATTTTTTAAAACCATGAATGGCAGTTGAATTTTGTCAAAATCTTTTTCTGTGCCAATTGATATGATCATATATGATTTTTCTTCTTTAGCCTATTGATATGGTTGGTGGATTACATTAATTTTACTATATTGAACCAGCCTTGCATACTTGGAATAAATCCCACTTTTCATGGTATATTATTATTTTTATACATTGTTGGATTTGATTTGATGAAATTTTCAGGGTTTTTGCACCTACATTCATGAGAGATTTGGTTTTTCCTTTTTTTTTTTTTTT